ATTGAGGGCAAAAGTTGAGGGAATGATGAGGGCCAAAATAAGGGGCACTGTAAAAGTTCTTTGAGCAGCAGTTGGAGTTGCACTCCCTTTTCCCACTCAATACCACTGGGCAACTTCCCTCTTTCCACCCCAGCAGAAGTTTGGAATCTTGTTCTCTGGAGAGGATAAAGCAGAGAGCTTGAATAGAGAGACGTCTCACACATTTGAGGATAGGGCTGTCATACTAAAAACACATGGAGTAAGTAAATTTATGCATACTGAATAAGGAATGCAGAGGTTCCATTACTACTCATATCCACCCCTCTTCTCTCACTTGGCTCCCAAAATACCAGCAGCTATACCTTCACCTTCCATGCAAGATACTGAAATTACCAGCTCAAAAAAGAAGACCTAAAAGTGATTTCCTAAAAATGTCTTGCTCCAGATCCCTCTACCATGAAGCTAAAATTGACAAACCCATCCATAAACTCAGATCTTCCAAATTTTTAGTTTTTCACTCTTAATCATGAACAGACAATCAAGGATCATCAGACAGCTGGGGACTACTTTAACATGGATAATATAGATCAAAACAAACAAACAGGAAGAAATAACTTGGAATATAAAATTTTGAAAAACAAACAACCTAATTGTTAATATCCTAAGAGAGTTAAGAAATAATATTTCAACCATTAGGAACAGGTTCCTTGCAAAAAGAAACATTCAGAAAACAAAAAAGAACTCTGAAAATAAAACATGATAGCAGAAGTAAAAAATACAACAGAAAGGCTGGAAGATAAACTTGAGAAAATCTCTAGGAAATGGAACAAAAAACAAAATATGGACAACAGGAGAGAAAATAAGAAAATTGGAGGATCAGTCTGGGAGATTCAACATTCAGGAATCTGACATTCTAAAATGAGAGACTAGTGAAACAGAGGGGAAAAAATAATCAATGAAATAATTCAGGAAAATTTTCCTGGAGGGAAGGGCATGAGTTTCCAGAAGAAAAGTCCGTTTGAGTGTTAATCACAATGGACAAACAGGCATTTCATGACAAAAGCTTAGAACACTAAGCAGATTCTAAAGGCTTTCATGTAAAAAGATAAGTAGTCAGAATATTTGTAGATTTCTCAAGAGCAACACTGGAAACTGGACAATGAAAATAATTTCCAATCCAAATTTTTATACAAAGGAAAATTATTATTAATAGTTAAGCAGGAAGGTAAGATAAAGACATTTTCAGACACATAAAATTTCATTAAATATATTTCCCACAGATCCTTTCTCAGAAAGCTACTGGAGCAAGCTACTGAAGGATATGCACCACCAAAGTGAGGGGGTAAATCAAGAAAGACAACTATATAGACATAGGAATTGGGAGATCCCTTCAGGGTAACTGTTGCTTACCAGACCTAGGGTGTAACTTGTTCAGATTGGAGCAGGTTTGAAACTTTATGTCTAAGGACAGTGAAGGATTCCGCATCTGTAAGTATCTTTTCTTCTGAAGTGAGCAGGTAGACATAGTAAAATCCAATGGAATCTCACTTTTATTATAAGATCCACAATAATGCTAGAATGTTGGTGAGAATGAAAACTTATACATACAGATATATGTTTTTAATATGAAGGATTACACTGAAAACTGATGTCAATCATCCTAGCAAGAGTATTCTGATTTCTTTAGACTGTGGTGTAAATTAAAACCAAATCTGCCTGAATAAGGGGAATATGTGCATGTGTGTGTACACACACTTATAATATAGGCATAGTGTAACTACGAATGGATACCCAGGAAGCTGGAGATCAAAGTTGTGTGGCTAGGGAAAGGGAATGTGAGGGAGACCTTCTTTTCACTATTTACCTTCTTGTTTCCCTTGGCATGTTAGACAGAATGCAGGGTAAGAGAGACAGGAGACTGGGATCAGTTGGGAAGTGACTGTCATGTTCTTGGTATGAATAAATAAGGTCCTGAATGAGAAAAGAAGAGGTGGATGTGAAAGTGGGAGGATGCTTTCCTGGCCTGGTGATGACTGATAACAGAATGAGACAGGAGGGAAGGAGTGAGCAGTGGGTGCTGAGGGAAAGGTTGAATGCAGTCATCAGAGATGACTCTTTGCTTTCAAGCCTAGGTTAATGTATTTATTAGTTCCTTCTCACACTGCTAACAAAGACACACCCAAAACTGGCTAATTTATAAAGGAAGGAGGTTTAATTGACTCACAGTTCAGCAGGGCTGATGAGGCCTCAGGAAACTTACAATCATGGTGGAACGGGAAGCAAACATATCCTCTTTCACAGGATGATAGGAAGCAGAAGTGCCAAGCAAAAGGCAGAAAAGCTTCTTATAAAACCATCACATCTCATGAGAACTCACTCACTGTCATGAGAACAGCAGCATGGGGGTAACTGCCCACACGATTCAATTACCTCCCACTGGGTCCCTCCCACAACACATGGAGATTATGGGAACTACAATTCAAGATGAGATTTGGATGGGGACACAGCCAAACCATATAATTTCACCCCTGGCTCCTCCCAAATCTCATGTCCTTACATTTCGAAACATGCCTTTCCAACAGTCCTCCAAAGTCTTAACTCATTCCAGCATTAACCCAAAAGTCCAAGTCCCAAAGTCTCATCTGAGACAAGGCAAGTACCTTCTGCCTATGAGCCTGTAAAATCAAAAGAAAGTTAGTAACTTCCTATATACAATGGGCATACAGGCATTGGGTAAATACACCCATTCCAAATGGGAGAAATTCGCCAAAACAAAGGGGCTACAGGCCCCATGCAAGTCCAGAATCCAGTGGGGCAGTGAAATCTTAAAGCTCCAAAATTTTCTCCTTTGACTCCATCTCTCATATCCAGGTCATGCTGATGCAAGAAGTGGGCTCCCATGGCCTTGGGCAGCTCAGCCCCTGTGGCTTTGCAGGGTACAGCCCCCTCCTGGCTTCCTTCATGGGCTGGCATTGAGTTTTGGTGATTTTTCCAGGTGCATGGTGCAAGCTGTTGGTGGACCTACAATTCTGGGGTATGGATGATGGTGGCCCTCTTCTCATAGCTCCACTAGGCGGTGCCCCAGTGGGGACTCTGTGTGGGAGGTCCAACCCCACATTTCCCTTCTGCACTGCCCTTGCAGAGGTTCTCCATGAGAGCCCTACCACTGCAGCAAACTTTGGCCTGGACATCCAGGTGTTCCCATACATCCTCTGAAATCTATGGCGAGGTTCCCAAACCTCAATTCTTGACTTGCAGGCTCACTGTGCTGAAGCTGCCAAAATTCGGGGCTTGCACCCTCTGAAGGCATGACCTGAACTGCATCTTGGCCTCTTTTAGCCATGGCTGGGATGCAGGGCACCAAGTACCGAAACTGCACAAAGCAGCAATGCCTTGGGCCTGGCCCAGGAAACCATTTTTCCCTCCTAGGCCTCTTGGCCTGTGATGAGAAGGGCTGCTGTGAAGACTTCTGACATGCCCTGGAGACATTTTCCCATTGTCTTGGCAATTAACATTTGGCTCTTTGTTACTTATGCAAATCTCTGCAGCTGGCTTGAATTTCTCCTCAGAAAATTGGTTTTCTTTTCTATCATATCGTCAGGCTCCAAAATTTTCCAAACTTTTAAACATAAGTTCCAATTCCCAACCATATTTTTGGGAATACATAAAACTGAGTGCTTTTAACAGCACAAAAGTTACATGTTGAATGCTTTGCTGCTTAGAAATTTCTTCTGCCAGATACCCTAAATCATCTCTCTCAAGTTCAAAGTTCCACAAATCTCTAGGGCAGGGACAAAATGCTACTAATGTCTTTGCTAAAACATAGCAAGAGTCACCTTTATTCCAGTTCCCAGCAAGTTCCTCTTCTCTATCTGAGACCACCTCAGCCTGTATTTCATTGTCCATATTACTATCAGCATTTCAACAAGTCTCTAGGACATTCCAAACTTTCCCACATCTTCCTGTCTTCTTCTGAGCCCTCCAAACTCTTCCAACCTCTGCCTGTTACTGAGTTCTGCCACTTACAAAGTTAACAGTGTTGGGTAAATTACTCTGACTCATCTCTGTGTTTAGATTTTCTCATCAGCATAATGGGCGTAATATTCCATTACCTATGTCACAGGGTCATTGTGAGGATTAAACAGGATAATAAGTTTAAAGGTTTAGATGAGCGACTGGTATATGGTAAATGTGAAATAACGTTAGCTAGTACTATTCTGCCTAATGACCTCTTTCAACCTCCTTTTTCTTTCCCCTAGTCTTAGAATACAGTAGTTTAGCGAATTTAATATACAAAGGAGGGATGTTCTCACCATAGGGCATGTTAATATTTCATTCAATCTTTAAACAGATATGTTTTGAGAGAAGAAAAAAGAATTCTGAAAAGAATACATGATAGCAGAAATAAAAATACAACAGAAGTTAGAAGATGAAGTTGAGGAAATCTTTAAGAAATAGAACAAAAGACAAAAAGATGGACAATAGGATAGACAACTATCTTAGGTACCTGGGATCCATTGGTGAGAAATTAAACACATTCCTGCCCTCACAGAGTCTAGGTCATTTTCTTTTGTCCAGAATTTTCCTGGCTCCTCTCACATGCTGTATGTATATATGCACTTATTTTATAATCATGGTGTTTTCAAGGAATATTTTTACATTTTTTACAAACTTTTGTTTAATGTACATATAAGCATATAATTTAAAAGTTACACATTACAGGTTACAAACTCAAAAGTAAGCTTCCCTTCCTTATTCCAGATTTCTTAGTTGTCCTCAAAAACAACCATTCTTACTTGATTTTTTTCTGACTCATTACTGAGATAAACATATAGAAGTATACAAGCCTCCTTTCTCAAATAATGGTAGTGGAAAGAGAGGAGGAGAAGATATAGCATGCGTCAGAGGCTTCTAGCCATACAGATGTAAAGAGAAAGGAAGTACATTCAGAGGACAGAGTGGGGAATATCAGACTACAAGGGTTGAGTAGTACTCTTGAAGCCAAAGCAGAAAATGTAGACTTTTAAATGAATGTAACAAGCATTTATTAAAAACTGTGCTGCACAAAACATGTTAGAAATTAGCCAGGTGCTAGGGGTCTAATCAAGGCAGGGGCAGGGTACACACATGGGAATATTACATGGACAAGCTTATCTAGCATGGCAGTCTACAACCCTTGAAGGTTGTTTACATAAAACAAAGGAACATTTTTTGTGGCTCGGGCCCCCCCAGAGTTCTCTTTAGGTTTGGACAGAGACTGCCGCATCCCTTACTGATCCCACCTTAGAGCCAGGTTTCCAAAGTCGTTTCTCCCAGTATATCCGTCTCTGTATGCAATTTTCCTCTGGTTGCCTTGAGCAAAAACAATCATCCAACTCAAATTTGCTATCTCTGTGCTGGGCCAGCCCATGTTCCTGTAGGACATCTGTAGGCTAAGTAAGCCCCTGGGTGATCTCCATCTTGGTCTTCCTAATTCCATTGCAGCTCTTCCCCTCTCAGCCAGGAGTGGAAAGTCCTAAGCCTCCTTCCATTCATCCCATTATCAAGATGATGGCTCTCCCTCCCCAGGTCTGCTTCCAGGAAGATGACATCCCAATAACTTGGGTATCACCAAAACGCCTCCCTGAATACCAGGGAAACTGCTGTCTATCTTAAGTCCATTTGGACAGACTGTTCATCTGTTGCTTGTTTCAAGACTTGTTGATGGGGTGGACAGACCAGACATTTCATGTATTTCTGTGGATCAAGATCTCACTTTTTTTCTCTCTCTCTTTTGAGTATTGTGATCTGTTTTGGTTCTTTCACAGCTTCCCCAGGCCATCTCACTGGTCAGTTCTTCAAGAGAAACAGGGTTCACAAGCTCCAGCACTTCCCTGTTTATTCAGTTCTCTCCACTAGGGCTTGTTGGGCAGGGCAAACCTCCTCAGTATTAGCCAACAGCCCAGATAGAAGTGGCTCCAGGTTCTGTCTCTGCCTCTTCTAATTTCCCCAAATTTAGATTGGTCTGCTTATTGTTGCCTGTACCCTAGGCCACCATTTTCCTTACTGACCCTGACAGAGGGATGAGAACTCCTTAGCAGGGGTAGACTTTTCTCTAGAGCATAGTAATCACACTATTACAGTACATAGATCTCCATGTTTCAAAATATTAACAACATAAGGTCTTAAATACATAACTCCCACCAAGACTGAGGAGGTAGTTGTTTAGTCACAGGTACACAAGATTCAGTGGGGCACCAGCTTAGAAATCTGGGCAGATAAAAGGCAGTTTTCCAGAAATTGAGAGTTCTATTTAAAAAAATACAATCTATGAAATTAAGAGAAGAATCTGATCTGGAGGAGGTATTGGTCCTAAATTTTATTTCCGGGTCATGAACCATTAAGCTGGGCTTGGCCCATAAGTGTGCTCTGAAGTGAAAAGAAGCAATAAGAGAATTAGTCTGCTCTTAGCACACTGAGCAGAGCTGGAGTTACAGAGAGGCTATTCCACTTAGGGGGAGTCCTGGAGCCCCCTTATTACTGATGGTAATGTCTTTTTGCCTTCTGGAAGAAATAAAAAAGGTTGCCCAGAAACTTACAAAGGAAAGGGTAGAAAGAATGAATACTTGTATGGGCTTTACTCTTTAATTAAAAATGCGTATCACTTTTGTCGCATGAAGGTGTCTTCAAACTTTTAAAAACACATTGGGCTTCATCAGATCTTTCAGGTACATTAATTTTTTCTCTGGAAAAAATAGAAGAAAAGATTAGGTGATATTTCACAGTTGAGCTACTTTCTTTTTCTAGATTGCAATGATAGGGCACAATAGAGGTTGCCATTGGAACAGCAATGAGGAGAAACGAACTATTGAAGAGAAAGGTGGAGAAGGCAAGAGAAAAGAACCATGGTCTACACTGTTGTCTATGCATCAACAACTACTGTTTATTTCTGCCTGGCCCTTCCCATGCCCTCTGCTGATTCTCTGCTGCCTGCCCTCTTCAGGCTCTTCCAGACCATTTCTGAAACTGAATCTGACAGGGTAGGCAGGATTTCAGCACCCTTTCTCATTGTCCAAGGGTGCCCGGAATTATTAGTCTTGTTGCTAGAATCACAGTGGCTGGTATATCTGGATTAGTGCTGGGCTCTCTTGGTTGTCTGTGCACCCTGGGGGTTATGACCCTGTCTCTGAAACCAGGCTTGCGACTGAGGGTTGCTTTGATCCTATGGGTATGCAGTCAGAGTCTTAATATTCCTGAGAGCTTAATTTCTCAGGAGGGCTAGAGTTACAGACTATCTTTCACATTGTGAAAGGACTGATCACCAAGAACTTTTATGTATTCATCATGCATCAATCATTCTTTCAATAAGCATTTATTGAGAACCTGCTATGTGCCAGGCACCATGCTAAGTGCTAGCAGCACAATGATAAGCTTAACTGGTATGGTCTCTGCTCTTCATAGAATTTAGTTTAGTCTAGTTTATAGAGTTTAATAAGATAATTACACAAATATGTAAGCATAATCTGGTGTTATTAAGAAAAAGCCAAGGGATCCACATGACACTGTAACAAGTGGACATTTTCTAGTTTGGGAAACGGTTTTTAAGAAAGTGCTGCTTGAGGCAAGATCTGAAGAATGAGGTAAAGAAGTAGCAGACGAACATCTAAACAGGGTCATAGCAAATACTAAGATGCTCAGGCTGAAGCAAACATGTTATCATTCCCCACTTCTTCATTTTTTCATTCCACGCATGTAGGATGCCCACTAATCTAGGCACTGTGCTAGGTACTGGGGTTACTGTGGCAGACAAGATGCAGCCCAGGTTCACCACCTCTGAAATCTTTGGTATTGACTTTTGCTTGACCATGACGGAGCTTGTCATGCTTTCTGGGCATTGTGCATTGGATACCCTGACATCCATTAACAGGTTATTTTCTTCTAGGTCTTAACTAGTCTTATTTTCCTCTCCCTCTCTATTAGTTCAGGTTTGTTGAGGTCTCAACATGCCTTAGGCATAAGCCTATTCAAATAACAGGCACTCTGGGGATTATACCTCTCTCATCAATGTCTCAGGGTCAGGATTTACCTTTTTTTGGTCTGTTCACTCTCTTCCCTCTCCATTGTGTTGGTTCCTGAAAGACACCAAGACCAATCTTCAAAAATGTATTCCTCATAGATACCAAAAGAAGGAAAGTTTGAAAAGGCTTCAAAGTTCTGGGACTCAGAGAGAAATTGTTGTGACTTTTTATATGGAAGAGACAGTTACTTAAATGATGCAATTTCAGGGGCATTGGGAAGAAGTTTCTTGCATTCAAAAAGTATATGCCTTCCCTTGCTCACTGTACCTTAAATTGTAACACTGGAAATATATTTTTCGCTTATAGCTCTATCCTGGCTAACCAAAAAATACCATTGGGAGGGGTAATATATTTAGTTTTAGCAATCATTTTGCGATTGGAAGAGTTTCTAATCCTTTTCTGAAAGCAAGGTTTAGAAGGAGGAGGAAAAGAAGTCTTGAAGATGTTGTTGCCTAAATGGACTAGCCAGATGGTGCTAAGAATATTATACAATGTTGCACGGACAAGCCCAAGTGGGAAATTTCTAGCCAGCTAGACCTCACAAAGCCTGAGTTGCTATTGATAGGGACTTGATACTGACACAACTTGGGATGTAAACTTCTCTAGGCTGACTGTTGTGATGATGCTATTGTCCCACTTAAAGCCCAACAGGTTGCTAACCTGAGTGTCCATGGAGGTATTTATAGACCACAAGAATCCACTCAACAATACCTCTGTTGGTTTTATGACTCTGTCTTTACTAAATAGAGTATTCTTGAACACTTCCTGTCATTGGAAGTTCTCTTTTATGTGTGTATGTGTGTATTTAAAAACAATCAGCTTGTATGAGGCCATAAAGTCAGAAGAATGATATAATGGACTTTGGGTACTCGGGGGGAAGAGTGAGAGGTGGATCAGGGATAAAAGACTACACATTGGGTACAGTGGACATTGCTCGGTTGACAGGTGCATCAAAATCTCAGAAATCACCACTAAAGGACTTATCCATGTAACGAAAACCCACCTGTTCCTCAAAAACTATTGAAATAAAATAAAAATAAAAGATAAAAACAATCTGCTTTATGGAGGTATAATTAATAAATAATAAAACCCAATCATTTCCAATCATTTTCAGTATAGAGTTTGGTGATTTTAACGAATATATATAGTCACGTAACCACCACCAAGATTGTAACCACAATCAAGATCGAGAACATTTCCATAAGCCAAAATAGTTCCCTTCTACTCCTTTTTAGCTGATTCCTTTCCCCCATCCCATGGATAACTATGAGTCTACCTACAATAGTTTTGCTTTTTCTCGAATTTCATATAAATGAAATTGTATAATGTGTATTCTTCTTGTGCCTGGATTGTTTCACTTAGCATAATGCTTTTGAAATGTATCTATGTTCTTGTGTATTGTTAGTAGTTCATTCCTTTCTATAGCTTTGCAGTATTTCAGTGTATAAATATACCACCATTTGTTTATGCATTCACTAACTGATGTAAATTTAGGATGCCAGGTTTGGTATTATGAAGAAAGCTGCTATGAACATTTGTGTATGAGTTTTTATATATTTTAAAAATTTCTGTTTGGTAAAAGTCTAGGATTTTGGGTTGTATAGCAGTACATGAGAGTTTCAGTTGCTTCATATCTTCTCCAACACTTGATGTTTATCAGACCATTCTAGAGGGTGTGCAGTGGTATCTTATTATAGTTTTAATTTGTACTTCCCTGATGACTAATGATGTTGTGACTGTGCTCATCAGTCATTTGTATATCTTCTTCTGTTATGTATCTGTTCAAGTCTCTCGTTTCCTGCCTTTTATTAAATGGATTGTCTTACTAATGAGTCGCAATATGTAATTACATATTCTGCATACAAGTCCTTTATCAGATACATATTTTGCAAACAAACATTTTCTCCCTGTCTGTGGTTTGACTTTTCCTTTTTTTTTTTTTTTGGTTGAGACGGAGTCTCGCTCTTTCACCCAGGCCGGACTGCAGTGGCGCTATCTCGGCTCACTTGCGAGTTCCGCCTCCTGGGTTCACGCCATTCTCCTGCCTCAGCCTCCCGAGTAGCTGGGATTACAGGTGCCCGCCACCGTGCCCAGCTAATTTTTTGTATTTTTAGTAGAGACGGGGTTTCACCGTGTTAGCCAGGATTATCTCGATCTCCTGACCTCGTGATCTGCCTGCCTCGGCCTCCCAAAGTGCTGGGATTACAGGCGTGAGCCACCGCACCCAGTGACTTTTCCTTTTTTAAACAAAGTCAAAAAACAGAAGTTTTCAATATTGATGACATCCATTTTATCTGTTTATGATATGGTTTTTGCTTTCTGTGTCTTATCTAAGAAGACTTACCTAACTTAAAGTCACAAAGATTTTCTCCTCTGTTTTCTTTCAGAAGTCTTTTCATTTTAATTCTTAATATTTAAGTTACTTTGTGTGTGTCTACGTTCATACTTTTTCCTTGTGGATATCTAATTGTCCCAACACTATTTGTTGAAAAGACTATCTGCGTAGAATTACCTTGGTACCTTTGTCAACAGGGTGAATCTATTTTTGACTCTCTATTTTGTTCCATTGACTGATATGTCTGTCCTTTTACCAATATCACACTGTCTTAATTACTATTACTATATAGTAAATATTGAAATTAGGTAGGTTAAATCCACCTTTGTTTTTTTTTTCTTTTTTTTTGAGACGGAGTTTTGCTTTTGTTGCCCAGGCTGGAGTGCAGTGGCGCGATCTCAGCTCACAGCAACCTCTGCCTCCTGGGTTCAAGCCGTTCTCCTGCCTCAGCCTCCGGAGTAGCTGGGATTACAGGCATGCGCCACCACGCCCAGCTAATTTTGTATTTTTAACCTTTGTTCTTATTTTTCAGAATTGTTTTGGCAATTGTAGGTTCTTTGCATTTCCCTATAACTTTTAGAGTAAGATTTTAAATATCTATTAAAGAGCTTATGAGGATTTTGATTGTGATTACATTTAATCCATAGATCAACTTGGAGAGAACTGATATCTTAACAAGATCTAGTCTTCTGATTCATAAACATGGCCTATGTCTCCATTTATTTTGGTTTACTTTAATTTCTTCAGTAGTAATATTGTATAGTTTTCAGTATATAGGCCTTGTATTTGTTTTGTTAAATTTATTTCCAAGTTTTTAATATTATTTGATGCTACTGTAAATGCTATTTTTTCAATGTACAATTGCTTGTTGTTAGTATATAGAAATAATTGATTTTGTGTATTGACTTTGTATCCTGTGCCTCTGCTACACTCACTTATCAGTTTTAATAGGTTTTTGATAGCTTCCTCAGGATTTTCTACAAGCATGATCATTATCTGTGTAAAAAGACCATTTTACTTCCTTTCCAATCTGTGTGTCTTTTCTTTCTTTTTCTAGTCTTGTTTCTCTGGCTACGACCTCCAGGACAATGTTGAACAAAAGTAGAGAGAGTGGACATCTTTCCCTTATTCCCCATCTTAGAGTAAAAGCAATCAATCTGTTATCATGAAATATTATGTTAACAGAAGAATTTTTGGTAGATGTCCTTTGTCAGGTTGAGGAAGTCATCTTGCATTCCTATTTTTATGAGAGTTTTTCTTTCCATTTAAAACTGTGAATGGGTATTAATTTTGTCAAAAGCTTTTCCTGTATCCATTGACATGATCATATGTTTTTTCTTTTTAGTTTATTTATGTAGTAAAGGTTGTTGCCTGATTTTTGAATGTTGAGCTTACCTGTGTTTCTTGAATAAACCCCACTTGATCATGACGTATTATACTTTTAACATACTACTAGATTTTAGTTGCTAATTTTGTTAAGCATTTCACAAGAGATGTGTGTAGTTTTCTTTCCTTGCAATGTCTTTCCTAGTTCAGTATCAGGGCTCCCCTGCCTTCAGAGCAGCCTGGACACTGGCTCCAGGCAGTAAACTGGAGCAATCATAGGGCTTATCTCATTTTTTCTTTCCTTCACTCAGGGACTACAGTTTTCTGCTCTCTGTCGTCTGATTTCTGAAAATAGTTGTTTCATATATTTTGTCTGCTTTCTAGTTTTTTATGGATAGAGGGCAATTCTTATAGCAGTTAATCTTTTGTTGGAGGAAGCAGAAGTCTATTTATCCTATAAAATTTTAAAGACTATTTATTTATTTATTTATTTATATTTTTTAAGACGGAATCTGGTTCTTCTGTCACCCTGGCTGGAGTGCAGTGGTGCGATCTTGGCTCACTGCAACCTCTGCCTCCCAGGTTCAAGCAATTCTCCTGTCTCAGCCTCCCAAGTAGCTGAGATTACAGGTGGCCACCACCACACCCAGCTAATTTTTGTATGCTTAGTAGAGATGGGGTTTCACCATGTTTTGCCAGGCAGGTCTCGAACTCCTGACCTAAGGTGATCTGCCTGCCTCGGCCTCCGAAAGTGCCAGGATTACAGGTGTGAGCCATCACTCCTGGCCTAAAAGACCTTTTAATTGTTAGAAAAGTCTCTCTTAATTCCTTACACCCTCTCATAACCTTCATTCGTTGAGATATCCTTCAGAGTCATACCATTAAGTTCAATCTTTGCATCCTATGGCAGCTCTTCAGATATTTGAAGACAGCATCTCTGTTCTCTCTAGGCCTTCTTTCAGGTGAAGCATCCTCAGTTACTTGAGCTATTTCTTATTTGACTGAGCTCCCAGATGCTTTATAAATCTGGCTGTGTTTTACTTTTGTAAAGTTTCTTCTTAAAAATAATGGTGTTTATAAGGACATGAATAGACAATTCTCAAAAGAAAATATACAAATGGCCAACAAACATGAAGAAAAGTTCAATATCACTAACTATCAGGGAAATGCAAATTAAAACTACCATGAGATACCACCTTACTCCTGCAAGAATGGCCATTATTAAAAAATAAAAAATAATAGATGTTGGTGTGGATCTGGTGAAAAGGGAACATGTTTACACTGCTGGTAGGAATGTAAACTAGTACAAAAACTACGGAAAACAGTGTGGAGATTCCTTAAAGAACTAAAAGTAGAACTCTACTATTTGATTCAGCAATCCTACTACTGGGTATCTACCCAAAGGAAAAGAATTCATTATATGAAAAAGACACATGCACATGCATGTTTATGGCAGCACAATTTGCAATTCCAAAAATAAGGAACCAACCTAAATGTCCATCAACCAATGAGTGGATAAAGAAAATGTGGCATATATAACTCATGGAATATTACTCAGCCATAAAAACAAAACAAAACAAAACAAAATAATGGCATTTGCAGCAACTTGGATGGAACCAGAGACCATTATTCTAAGTGAAGTAACTCAAGAATGGAAAAGCTAACATTGTATGTTTTCACTTGTAAGTGGGAGCTAAGTTATGAGGATGCAAAGACATAAGAATAATATAATGGACTTTGGGGACTCAGAGGAAAGAGTGGGAGGGGTGAGGGATAAAAAACTACACACTGGTGCAGTGTACACTGCTCGGGTGATGGGTGGCACCAAAATCTCAGAAATCACCACTAAATAACTTAACCATGTAACCAAAAATCACTTAGTTTAGTTCAATAGTTCCCAAAAAACTGTTGAAATAAAAATGTTGAAAAACAATCTTATTATAAATGTAAAAAAATGGTACTTATAGTTGAATACAGTGTTTCAGATGTCTTCAGACTAACACAAAATAAATTATCCTTTTATACCCATGACAAAATAGTCATCATATCAAAAAAAGCCACTATCAAAAAAATGAAAGCAGATAATTAAAAGGTAGATTCTAAACTTTTAAATTTGATTACAAATTTAGCATTTTGAAGGGAAAATGTGATGATATCACTAACTTTCAGTTTTTAAGCCTGTGAATATTTCTGTTTAAATGTTGGTTAAAAACGGATCAAGACGATCCTAGCCAACATGGTGAAACCCCGTCTCTACTAAAAATGCAAAAATTAGCTGGGTGTGGTGGCACACACCTGTAGTCCCAGCTACTTGAGAGGCTGAGGCAGGAGAATCGCTTGAACCTGGGAGGCAGAGGCTGCAGTGAGCTGAGATTGTGCCACTGCACTCTAGCCTGGTGACAGAATGAGGCTCTGTCTCACAAAAAAATGAATAAATAATAATAATAATAATTTGTTTTGAAAAAGACACTGTACCTTTAAGAAATCATTCCTGAAAGAGCTGAGACTCCTAGGTTTGTTCTAGGGAGGCAAGTTGTAAAAACTGTTGCTAGGGCATTATATACAGATTTCAGTCACATAAGACCCAAATGAGGAAGTAAAATTTCAGGGTTTGATCAAATAGACTTCTGCTTCCTCCAACAAAAGACTAACTGCTATAGGAATTGCCCTCTTTCCATAAACAACTAGAAAGCAGACAAAATATATGAAACAACTGTTTTCAGAAACAGTTCATTTTTGTCTTTCTCCCAATGGGTAAGCTGATAGGGTGATTTCTGTTTCGGAAAAGACAGTAATTCATAGTTACAAATTCTCATGCCTTATCTGCCCTATTTGACAAAACAAAAAAAGAGAAAAGAGGTTGGAAACTGGCTAGAATAACTATGGCATTTCCCTTTTATTCATTTAAACAGCCTAAACAGGGTAAATATGTACAGTTGAGGCATAGAAAATCTATAATGAGAAAACATTGGACAGGACTTTTGGTGCCAAGTTAGTTTGAGGGCTGTCTCCTCCGAGAAAGGGATTAACACTGGAGTAGGAGGAAGCTCCACTTTTGGAGAAATTCCTACCAGTTATCAGTAAGCTTGTGTCTCTGTGGAGGGATCTGCTGTTTCCACATTGGTCTCTTGGCAGAATTCAGCTCCTTATAATTGCAGAACTGAGATCCTAATTTCCTTAATGGCTGGCTGTCAACTGAGAGCCACTTCCAGCTTCTAGAAGCTACCTACATTCCTTGGGTCATGGCTTCCTCCTAGAAATGCTGGGTTGAGCTAGAAATGCTGGGTTGAGCTTCTCAAGCTTCAGATCTCTCCTCCTTTTTCCAGTTCATTTCTCTATCCCATTTAGGAAAGATTCTCTGACTCATGTGATTACATTGGGCCCACCTGGATAATCCAGGCTAATCTCACCATCTCAAGCTTGGTGCCTTAATCACCTGTGTGAAGTTCCTTTGCCATGTAAGATAACATATTACAGGTTCTGGAGTATAGGAGATGGACATCTTATGGGGGGCATTATTTTGCCTATCACATAGCCAATGCCAAGAGTACCCACAAAGCAAGGGTAGATATTGCTGAAGTTACAGAATCCAAATTTACAAATATCTCATATCTATAATGGCATAGTTATACCTGTTGCATCTCCCTCCCTACAGTGATAGCAAGGCTTCTCTCTTTGATCAAACTCACTGGCATGGATGACTGTCTGAACAAATAACTTTTTCTTACCAATATTCTTCATTACATTCTTGGGGGTCATATATGTGCCACTCAGCCCAATCTGACCATCTCATCTGTACCCAAAGAGCTTGTTTAACCACCTTCTAACTTCTTTCATGTGAACACACATATCTTCTTTATCTCCCCTATCTACTCTCCTGATTTTTTTCTCATTGCCTCATGGGGGAAGAAACATCCTTAATCTTTTTCTCTATCCCTTCTTTGTTTCATTTGTAAGCTGATCATTGTAATGTGAAGAAAAATTTAGGAAACAGCTTACTCCCAAGACGTAAGTCGCTTCTTCATATTTGACTAATTCTAAATGGCAATGAGATTGAAAGAAAGTGAAGCTCAAAACTCTCACCTTGAAAAGTCAAAGCCTGGACAAGCATGATATGTCTTTACATCTGTGCTATGAATTTTATACTTTTATATCATAGAAATCTCTCAGCACACTCCATACATTGGCAGTTTGAATGGCTCTGCCACATGCTTTGTATTAATTTATTTAAATTTGATCATTGCTCCCCAATTTCTTATTTTTAAAGTACAGCAGGATGCAATGAATGACTGCTAATGTCATCCATCTATTTTCTAGATAGATTTTAAAATCAGTATACTGAAAAACAAGATGCTGGCCAGAGGCAATACTTATCTTGTGCTTTCTACCATAAGTCAGTAAGAAGGTTACCTTAATTATTAGCACCAAACTAATTACTACTGGAGGCAATTACTGAGATAAAGTCCAATCTTATCTTCGAACCAGCCCAAACTACAAAAAGGCATGGCATTATTACAAAGTTAGAGACCATTTTGTCCTCATTAAACATTTTTATAACAGAAGTCAGTGGGGAGGATGTTTATAATAACAAAACTATTGGACTAACTCAAGTGTCAAAAAAATGAGGTTGGTTAAATAAATAAATTAAGGTGTATCCACATAAGGGAATATCTTGCAGCAGTTTAAAATGATGCTGTAGAATGATATTTATGGCATTGAAAATTGTCTTGCTATATTTAGTATAACAAAGTTAGAACACAGTACATATATTATCCAAATTGTGAAAAATAACCCTTATGATAATCCTAATTATGGAAAACAACATAGATTGATACATAGAAAAATCTTAAAGATAGGCACCAAAAATGTTTGTGTAATCATTTTTTCTTACTACTGGAATTATAGATGATTTTATTTTTGGTATATATGATAATGGATATGTATTACTTAGAAATTAGTAAAAGTTAATATTGTTTGTTATAGGTCAATGGGCAATAATTCATCTAACTTATTTAATAAGAAACCTAGATTTTTTTAGAGACGAGAAGCTGATTCTTGTGGTCATTTAGCAAATATCCCTGCTTGAACACAACCAGGTCCATAACCTTTAACATTTAAGAGTGGTTTCACCATTTTACTTTATGTATATGTCACAGTAACCTCAGGAAGTGAGGTAGATAAAGTAAGTAATCAGTTTTCCCTGGAAATCAGAAGTACATTTGTAAACCTGAGGTTAGAAGTGTTGCCTTTCTTTGAAGTCCAAGAGCAACATTATCAGCTGCTGCCAGTTTGTATAGGCTCAAAACTCCAAGGGAAAACCTTTTTTCCCAACAACTTCCTGACTTTTTGCCAGTCTAGGCTCAGACAACAAGCTCCAGAAGGCAGCCAGCCGATTGGGAAGTAGGTGCAAAGTGGCAGTCTGTGGGGAGGACAAGGACTGACTCACCACAGTTATAAGAGTTGCGAGGCTGCTTCTTCTTCTTCCATTTCCATAGAATTAGACAGAAAGCCATCACACATATAATAACTGTTGGAAGTACAGCTGTAATCCAAGGGATGTGGTCTGGGGGAGGCTGAGGGTCCTCAAGCTCTACAAATGACCACAAATTTTCAATCAGCCAGGAGAGTCATTTACAAAGGGTTTCTGCTAGCTGCTCTTCTCTTTGTTTACCTGCCAGGCTCTCCCTAGGGCTCTAAGGCCAGAGAAGCCTGAAATCCACAATAGGAGGCCATAGAAAGTCCCAGTCTCAGGGCCTCAGCAGGGACCTAAGAATCAAGCCCATGCCTCTGGCCAAATGCCTGGACTGAGTGTCCTGCCTTCCTGGAGGTGGGGATAACACCGACCATGATCAGGAAGAAGAGGGTCAGCCTGGCCCATGATCCTGGAATCTGGGTGAGGTGTGTGTGCTGAGGCTCTGCATGTGCAGTCATTTGTGCCGTGCCTGCTACCCCACCCACCTCTGCAGTCAGTTCTCAGGCCCTGAAGTTCCTCTTGTGATGATGATTCTGTCCACTATAATCTCCAGACACCTCTCACTTGGACAAATGGAACAGCCTCCACACAGGCCCCTACCTCTAGTTTTCCTTTGCTTGTTTGTTTAGTTTTTTCCTGCTGAGATCACAGCAGGTTTCCTCTGTATGGCTTTCAGCATATCTCATCTACTAAAAATCCTTTGATGTTTCTTCATGCCTTGAGGAAACTTCACACCTTCAGGGCCTACTTCCTTACATGAGAACTCCTAAGTTTCTGGGGAGTTGGAAAACAGGCTTTGTGGGGAAAACTTAGAACTGAGTCGCCCACTTTAAAGATATTTTTGGGAACAGTTCTGGTAGCTAATTCCAAATTTCAGGAAAACTAGGACCAGCTGATCTATTAGCTTAGCTATAATTTGTGGACACATGCCCTGTTTCTGAGATGTTAAGGAGTTGTTGACATTGGAGGCCATATTTAACCCCTTTTGAGTCTGTCTCAGTCTATCCCACTTGAGCCAGTTTGGCACTCCCAGTAAAGGGGGTGTGGGATTATACTTACTAACTTGGAGGCTGCTACCTTTTAATATGCAAAAAAGGTCCCTTGATTCAGGGTCTAACCTATCTCTGATCAAGTGATAGAATGGGAAACCCAGACAGGCAAGCCCCATCTTCCTGAGGCAGCTAGAGCTGAAACATTTATGAAGATGGGGGTACCTGTGGAAGTTTTGGCAGAACAGTAGTTGAGAAGCAGCAGGAAGGTAAGCCATGATGAGGTTATATTGGTGGCAAGTCCCTGTTAATTTGTAGACTATGGGAGCCATAACAGAGGGCTCTGGGGCATGTCATATATAGTGATGTTGGTGGCCACAAGATAGCCACCAGTCAAACTAATTACGCATTGAAGGAGGTACTGAACTCCAGGCATAGCTTGGAGAGGCTTCTATCTGGCCAAGAGAGGATACAGGAGAAGCAACTGAGACAGGATGAGTGGCTCCACCATTTACTGCACTCTCAGAGGCTGAAGTGTCTGAGTAGAAAGAAGTCAGTAGTAGGAGATGAGATTGGCCCAGTTGTAAACTTGGTTCGTGGGGACTGACCCCAGGGGCTGTTCACAGACTAATTTATGTCTGAACAACAAGACACTGGGAGAAAGGAGGTGACAAAGCCAGGGAATGGAGCAAGGAGTTGGATGGATGTCACTGGAGGGGGCAAGCCAAGGAGTCATCGCTGGAGAAAGGGTCAAGGAAAGAAGAAGGCAGATGTGGGGGGTCAAGGTCAGCACAGGCAGTGATGGGACAGGGTAGGTGCAGGCCACCTTTATTCCAGGAGGGAATCTTGCAGTTACAGATCCTTAAAAGAGGAGTCAAATATAGACACATGCCCTCCTGGGTAAAACCAGGACTTTAAAATGTCAGGCTCCTGTTAGTGCCTACTGCTTAGTTTCAGTCCTTTCCTCCACTGAACTGGTCCCTGAAGAATACTTCTGAACACACAAGCATTTCTGCCTCCAAGGCTTTCTTTGACATACCTCCTGCCTTATGTCAGATACAGCTGATCCATTGTGGTCCTCTCACCTGCTGAGCCCAGATTCTGTCTCAAGTTTTTTCTGCTAAGGAAGTCACCATAGTTTTGGGAACCTGTCATCCAGAATGCCCTCCCCTCCTCACCACATGTATTAACCCCAATAATTTATTTTACGTGTTACAAGGTACCCCTTCCTTTAGGAACCATTCCCTGACCCTCAGGGATCTTGCCTACCTCTGAATGCCCATAAAACTCATTACCAGTCACTTTTGTTTTAAATCTAGTCCCATATTTCCATGGAATGAAATTTAGATTCCAATTCGACCTTTTAAAGATCCCGTTTTTCATGTGTGCACATTACAGGGTTATGATTCCATTGGAAGGTCCTCAAGGGCAGAGGGGGTGTCATATCTTTTTGTTTTCACTCCTGCAACCAATAATGTCCCAAATGGTTCTACACTCACAATAAGTACCATTTGTATGTATGCGTGTATGCATGATGTGTGTGTGTGCAAGCGCATGTATGTGTTTTAATCAAAGAAAGAATTCTAGCCTGGAGGAAACCTGCATTTTTTAATCAAAACTTCAGAATCCTCCATCCAAAGGTAAACCAGGAGACTGAGTTAGTTTCAGGGCTAAAAGCCTATTTCTTCAAGTGCAGCACAGGCTCATAGCCTCCTGGACCCTGCATCACTCAGGCGAAGCAGGAGCCCTCCATCTGGGTCCTTCCTAACAGCATCATAACATGGCCCAGATAGAGGTTTCCTAGCAAGTCGGAGATGTTGGATAATCTGCGTTAAGCATTTGTGTATAATACCTGCTGAAAGAAATAGTCTTGAAAAACATCTTTACCTATAGAGAAAGGTGAGGATAAAAGCTGTGTCTTGTCAGTTTCCAGAACACAGAAGATGGTCATGTTGCTCGTAACATCAGGGAATGAAACAGACAAGCTGATGGAAACGTCGTACAGTTCTGTGACATTATCTTGAGATTTCTGCATAACACCATCATACTCGATAGTTGAATTCTTGGTTCTTAGCAAAACACTCATCTTCTCAGGTTCTGGGTAACCGTGTATAGATGAGCAGGTCAAATTTATGTACATATTTTCTGTTATATTAGAAATTGGGACTATTTCAGGTTGACTGAAGTTAGCTGAAAGCACAAGAGAGATACAAAAAGTCAATCTAAGTTTAGATGCATCTAGGAGGGAATAGCAAATAACTGGGTGCTTGATCTGGGGCTCATTGGGGCATACCTGGGAGCCTCAGGGTGTCTAAAATGTGACCCTTGGCCCAAGGTGAGTGCCACATAATGACTTCATGTTTATTTTGCAACAATAGAGTTTGGGGCCATGCTTATTTCCTGCTTATCCAAATCAAGGGGGTGCTAAGTGATAGGAGGGCTGTAATTGAGTCCCCAAATATTTATAATGAAGCCTGTATTTCCAGGGAGTAAAGTCTTTGGAAGGAGAAGTGGTCTGACTCTAGGGCCCAGGTGTCCCATGGGACACATTCCAGCTCACCAGACTAAGAGAGCAGAAAGGGATTGATCTGAAGTCTCACCAGGAACTGACAGTTCATGGTGCTGAGACGCCCTGGGCCATATCTTTCAGGAACCCAAGCAGGATTGTGGTAAGTGAGTGGGTGGGCATTTTGGAATTTGAAATTCAGAACACTGATTTTTGGCATGAGCACCAAAGTGTCTTCATAACATACTCTAAGATGAAGGCCAAATCCAGCTATTTTAGGGAAAAATACATGATCTTAATAAACACAGTGTTTCTCTTGCCTTTGTTTGCCATTCACACTTTTCTGGCTGTTCAGGATCACTGGCGTGGAGCCCCTAGATCTGTGTCATGTGCCTTCTGTCAGAAAAAAATCTCTTGTTCTTTTATAGTTACTAGGTAGTTTGCAGGTTCTACAAACTAATTTATAATTTAGTGTATTCTGACTAAAAGGTCTGCCATTTGCGTGTCATCTTTATAAGTTTTGCTGTATCAGTGTACTATTTGAGCACTCTTCTTGGACTTTATGTGATCTGTAGAAGGTGAATTGCCAGACTGTTATTTAGCTTTATTAACAACATCTGTGAAATCACATGTTGCGTAAGTTAGAGTTTTTCTAATATACATTAAAACAGATACAACATGGCTTTTCAAAATGCTTGTCTATCTGTGTCCCACCAAAAACATTTCCAGTGGTACCTGGCCACATTTTGAAAACACGGATTTAGCACTTGGTTAACTGCTCCCAAAGCCCTGCAGCCTAGTTTTAATCACACAGGGTTCAAAGGGAGCAGCTGTCCATTCTATTTTTACTTTTGCTTCTGTTTTACTCTATGATTTTAGAATAGGTGTTGATCTGCCTTTCTAAGTTTCATCAAAAATTAACGTGGATCCAGTAATACCACACCTGGGTATTTCCTCTAGAGAACTGAGACCTTATGTTCACACAAAAACCTGTACATGAATGTTTACAGCAGCTCTGTTCATAAGAGCCCCAAACCAGAAACAACCCAATGTCTTTTGCTGAGTTGAATGGATCAACAATAAAATGCTATTCAGCAATAAAAAGGGACAAGCTTGGTATGTGCAACAACCTGGGTGAATCTCAAAGGCACGCTAAACACAAGAAACCAGTCTTAAAAGGTTATATACTGTATGGCTCCACTTATGTGACATTGTCAAAAAGACAAAACTATAGGATGCCCACCAAGGGTTATGAGTGCGGACAGAGTATGACTCTATAAAGGGATAGCCTGAGGGAAATTTTTGGGGTGACAGAAATGCTCTATGTCTTGTGGCGGTTACCTAATCTATACATGATCTATAAAATCAGTGGACAGTTTACTGTGTGATAGTTTAAAAAATATCTGTAGTGACATTTAGGCCTTCTGAGGTCTGGTGTAGTGGAGGAGCTGGTTTGTAAGTTTGTGGGTTATGTTTGTTGGGCTTTTTCCCCTTCTGTCTACCAGGCTCATGGTTGTGGCTGCAAACAACTCATAAGCAACCTAGACGAGGCTGAAGGGAAAACCCAAATGTGTCAGCTGTCCCCTTTGCTAGGAGCTCCAGGTAAAGATTTGGTAGGTGAAAAATCTTGGACCCAAGGAAAAAATGAATTGTGAGACATCTGAGGCCTTTATGGTTATATAAACTTTGTAATGGCCAAATTACCTATGGTTTTTACCATGGGTAATTAGCCATATTATCTTTGTTCAATTAGCTCTATTTTTTCCCCAAAGCAGATTTTTACTGATCCTTCAGAAGCAGACTATAAAAAGTACAAAAGACTTTCAGTTCCCTACTCCCAGACTCTACACTCCCTTCAAATGCACTTCCCAGAAGTGGCTGTCCTCTGCCTTCTCTCTATAGACCCCCTTTTTCCCCTGGGCCCCTCAAGTCCTCCTCCAATGTTTCTCTAACTCATCTGCAGTCTCATCTGAGAAAGCTAAGAATCTGAACACACACCATTGACCACATACCAAGCACTGACAGTTCAGAATTCATCTGGTGGATGCGGATCATTCCTGTGGGCCTTTTGTGATGGATGATACATTGATACAAGCCCTTGTCCTTGATCTGAAGGTTGTGAAGCCTCAGGGTCCAACTGTCCGGATCAAAACTTGTGCGGCCCATATACTTGGAATGAACGCTGTCAAATTTCTCTCTGCCTAAGTATACCTCATTCAGAACCAAGTTTTCCTGATTCTGCCAAAATACTACTAGCTCACTCAGGCTTCGGTTTTGAGAGTTTGCAAACTGGCATGGCAGGTCTGCAGTCTCATTGAAATAAGCTTGAATCTTCAGGGGAGCAGCACCTATAAAGGAAGGTTAAGGATTAGGGAGGGAGAAATTCGAGGAAAGAGGAAGAAAACCTCCATTTCTCTTTATACAATACCCAGATACTACCTTATCAGTAATCATGCTGGAGAATTAAATATTAAGCTCTGGAACTGTGCACACATGCTTGGCCTCTGGAGATTAGGACCTTTGTCCTTGCTTCACTGCTGACTAAATGTGTGGCCTTGTACAAACTACAATCTTTATGAGCCTCAGCTTCCTCATCTGATTAATGAAGTGGTTGACTAAATGTTCTAAGGGTCTTTCTAGTACTGTGGTTCTGTGAATTTAAATCGCAGGACAGGGAAAAACCAGCAGAGGTAGACAACCCATTCACCCACCAGTTACCTTTCTATAACCTGAATTTTAGTTCTCATCACCATAGCTGTTACAGGTTCCATAACTTCTATACCATCACCAAAAGCTTTCCCCTCCCCTCCCTATCCACATATTCCTTGGTCTGCTATGGTGAAAAGGTTGCTGATAATGGCAATAAATTATAGCCCCCCTTTATTATACTTCATTAGTTGGGGAATCACATTGAGTAACATCTTTGAAATTCAAATAGCTCCCTTTAGAGAACTTCCCCTATGACTACTGCTCCCATGGCCAGCACTTCCAAGGATGTCAAATGCTTTAGAAATGACTTCAAAAGTGAACCAAGGCCTTTATTTTCAGTGACCTCTCTGAGCTCTTTCAGAGATCAGAAAGAGAACTGGGCAAATTTGATGGTTGCTTTGGGATTGTGGTGGTCAATGACCCTTTAAGGCACATGAATGAAATGCTGGAAGTGAATCATAGATGGGCAGGTGAGGATGTGCTTTGGGAGTATTGGGGAAACCCCAGGCACCACAAGCTTGCTGCTCCCAGGATGCACTGACCCTGGACAATTTTACAACCATAGAGATCAGTCTGGAAGAGTTCAGAGAAAGGCTTTAGTCCTTGAGGGCACTTTGGGGTTTGTGGGAAGGATGTGGGCCACCCAACTACTTAAATGTGAATGATCACAGGGTTTGTGTAGGACCTTTTCTAGGTTACAGAATTACTTGAGAATTGGCCAAAAAAAAAAAAAAAAAAAAAAAGTAAGCAGTGGTGGATGAGAAGTATGGGGGTGGAGAGTGGGAAGGCTATTTCTTACTTAATATTAAGTTAGATGCCACCTTGGAGAGGAAGTTAGTGTAAGTTCTAAATAAAATTTCATCATTCAGGATTTATGTGAAGGGATGTTGACACTGAGGAGGAAAGGGAGAAGATGGGTTGATGAGAGAGAGGAGAGGAGTCTCATTTGAAGAGTTCTTAGTGGGGGAGTAATTAAACTGATGTGCTTTCTCTTGAAAGAGGGACAAATAACAGTGACATGCACTTGTCAAACTAAACTGTGTACAGAATGGCCCAGTGAGGACACATAATCAAGGGGTTGGTGATGGACTTGAACTCTAAGGGAAGCAGACAGCAGGCATCAGTGGGAGTTTGCAGAAATGTGAATCATTGCCTATTGCATTACACTCACTAGGACTCCATGAAGTACTTGAGGTATAAAATGCACCACCTATAGAGGATGCGTACCTGTATTGGAGGGAGGAGGGAAAATCTATATGGGTACCCTGACAGTGAAAGGGAGACCTAAGGAAGATTTAGTGTGTTTATTAATCACCTTACAAGGCAAACCTGAGGCTTCTGCGTCTTCTTTGCTGAGCTCTTAATGTAATGCAAGAGTGCCACCTACTGTAAAAGCTTTTAGCACTGTCTCTGGGAAAATACTGGTTTTACTCTAAAATCATAACATTGACTGTTAATTGACAGATGACCTGATGGAGAAACCAAACACACAGTTAAAAATTCTGCCAGTTAACAGTCAATGTTATGTTATTACTCAGCTGTTAGTTGTGCCTTCTGGGCCTGGAAATGACTTCGTCTTTAGCTGCTTCTGTCTTCCTGATTTACATTTTTTTTTTTTTCAGTAGAGCCTCACAGTATCTTCTTTCCTTCCCATCCATTCTCTTCACTCACAGACCAGTCTAACTCCGCTGACTCAAGCCCCTCTTCCCAAAGATTACAACGACTTTCTCTTCCACTCATCGAGTGCTCCCTTCTTCACCTAGCAACTGAAAGCGTGATGTACGGACCAGTGACATTCACGTCACCTGTGGGCTGGTCTGAAACACGGAATCTCTGGCCCCACCCAAGACCTACTGATTCAGAACCTCCATTTTAACAAGAGCAAAAGTTTGAGCGGCTGCTGTAGAGAATCTCTGCCTCTGTCTTCAGAGTGGATCATAGAAAATGACAGGAAATAATTTTTTCCATCCATCCCTCCCCAGACTCCCTCTCCTCCCCATGGGGTGGAAATCATTCTGAAATCCATTCCAAGTGGAACTGAAAGTATTTTGCAATTTATACTCCATAGCACTTCACCAACCACTGGCTTCCATGATCTCACACACAGTTAGGCATGCTAATCCTTTCTCTGACTAAATGGGGAAAGTCTGGCTCAAGGTCTGTGATCACCAAATGGCATTAGGCCTTCCATTTTATGACCCCAGACCTCAAGCCACCTAGCAACTGGACTTGCTGGGACTCCATAGGTGGGTAAGCATTGAGAATCTCTCCCTTCCCCAGCACTTGGGTAAGAGGAATGGTTGAAGTCTAGTTACGGGTTGCTATGATGTCAGGAACAAGTCACTCAAGAATCCAGCTAGATGCCTTCGTAATCAGCTGAGGGAATTTGTTTCAAAGGATAATTAAGGACTTCCTGAGCAATATACTCTACTGTTGGAATGCCACTCAAAAACTGTAATTTGCTAACCTTATGAAGTCTCTGACCCCACTGGGACTTCAGTCTTCCCTGGCTACTATCCCCAAATGCATACCTTATATATTTAAGAATTATCTCTTCTTATGTTCCTATGCTTATCTGTACTAAAAAATTTCCTTCTTTTACTAAACTTCCTCCAAAGTTTTATTTGGCCCTTTGGACGCCTCATTCCATTAATTACTACAAGGAAACTTTCCCACAACTTTAACCCCTTCATTGACTGTTTTCCCTGAGGTTATTGTTTCAGTGAAATCTGGCTTCACCCAAAGGAAGCCACTTGCTCCTGCCCCAGCTACTGTTTGTTTTATCACACTTCATGGGGCCTCTGAGCAACACCCTCCCCTTTTGAGGTGTCTGACTCTCTCATTGCTTTTAGCTACTAAATTACTACCACCTTGCTCAATGAGGATTTTGGCATTAGATGCAAGGTCTTGCTAACAATTTGGGTGACTTCTTTATGAATGAGTCTAACAAACTTGCCTCAGATTTCTTTGATCTTGTCAACTTCACAGGTCTTCACCCACAGACTATTTCAGCAGCTGCCCTCCACCCTCTTATGACATAACCCTGAATCTTTTCACGTGAAGCAGCTCAGTCCCTAGAATCTTAATCTCAATATGCTAATCTCTGTCCACAACCTGCTGTTCATCCAGGTTTTGCTCTTGCTTACTCCTTCTACATCTGTTGTTCAACTTCATCAACACCTCAGCTTTATCCAGACCCTGTAGTGCAGTGTTTTCCACAGGAGCTCTTAGTGATAATGGAAATGCTCTGTCTCTGTGCTGAACAATATGATAGCCACCAGCCCTTGTGGCTATTGAGCAATTGATACGTAGCTAGTATGACTGAGAAGCTGAATTTTTAATCTTATTTAATTTTAATTAATTGAAATTTAAGTAGTTACATATGGCTAGTGGTTATTATATTGGACAATGCAACAATAGTATATCTTTGTAATTATTCCTTGCCACAAATTCAATAAACACACCCCTTTGTCTCTATAAAATTTACCCTGGGGACACTCTACTTTTGGTCTACATATCTGTTCTTACAACTGGGCAATTGAGCAGTTCTAGAGGAAATTATTCAGTAGTGCAGACTGGTGACATTCCAAATCTGCAGTGTCCAGTCTCACTTCACTCGGCCTCCGGGCTGTTTGCCTGGTTCACCACCGTTACTTCAAACACAAACCCACTGCTGCTGCTTTTAGTTTCTCTTTCCCTTGGAGTCAAACTCCCTGAAAGAGTAAGCAGCAATTGCCGCCTTCACTCCCAAGCTCCCACCCCCACCTCTCTACTGAAATGCCCTGACAAAGATTGTTGCTGACTTCACACCATGGCCAAGGCTTGAGCTCTTTTCAGACCTCAACTCATTTGACCGCTGTGTCAAATGTAACAGTGTTGGCATCTCTCCTCGTTGAAATGCTCTATTCTTTCCCAATCTCTGTTTTCCTCATTAATTTTCTCAAATCACTCTTTAATTTCGGTAACGTTGAGTGCATGTTCTTGGTCTTATTCTCCATACTTTCCCTGGTTTTTCTCCTCTAGCCCCATGGATTCAACTGTCAAGTACAAGCTAATAGCGCCCAGGTGCTTATTGCCAACCCATAACTTTCACTAGAGTTTCAGATACTTGTATCCAACTTCCTGCTGGATGTCTCTATCTAGATCGCAACAGGTACTCTCTTCCTCCCCTTCAGCCTTCCTCTCCTCTATCTCAGGGAATGCTTCCCTGTCTGGGAATGGTTCCCAGACAAGCCTCTTATGTCTACAATCATCTAAATCATCTGTGTAACCAAGATGGATCATCTGTATACCCAAAATACCCAACAGAAGCTCTACACAAGTGTGTCTGAGGACATCTAGAACTACTACAGCCAGAGCTGAACTCCAATATGTTAAGAAAAGGGTGGAGGAGACCAATGTAATTGTCTTCTAACTCATCTGCCTGCTCCATCCTTGTCCCGGAGTCTAGTTTCTCAAGCCAAAATGATCCCTTAAAAATACAGCTCCAATCACATAATCCTCCTGTTCAGAAGCCTCTGATGCCTTCCCACCAGACTGAAAATTATACCAGATCCCTTCCCCTCACACTGAGAACTAGGGAAATGCAATTTAAACCTCAGTGAGAAACCATTCTTTTTGCCCATCTGATTGGCACATA